TAGATCGAGAGTACTGGTCTCCAGGTAGCTATGGTGACTCCACACTAGAAGTTTCGCAGCTGTTTGGAGGTGACATGAATTCCAAAGGTCTTCTCCAGTCAGGCTGCGACTGGAGATGACTTCATATTTTGGTGTACATGAAGGTGATGGGCGAGAGCCAGCTCCTGCTTATCGAGGAACATCTTGGGTATCTTCCGCCCTGGTACTCGTATCCACGTCCTCTGTCTGGGCTGCGAAAACTTTGCTGATATGTGACTCGGTCGAAATGTCTTTTTTTGCCCCCCCCTTGTAGACATCTTTTGATCGCATACATTTTGTACTGTGCGACTGTCGTAAGGGCGCGACAGAAGAGCGAATGTTGAGGACACGTTCCAGTCCTTTATTAAGCGAGCACTGCTGTTTGTTAGCCACTGTAAGATTCGCGACTGTTGAAAAGACTTGAAGCAAGAAAAGACTTGAAGCAAGAAAAGCAAGGCTGTCTGGCGCTTGTTCGGCTCAGAAACTGAGCGCAGAAAGCGGCCCATGTTGAGAGCTGCTACCGAGACTCGCTTCTATGGTTGTACTGACGCGGTTATTTTCTAGCTTGCGGCAAGTGTGTATGCCGTTGAATGGGCATACACACTCGACTGGCTCGACTTGTCGTGTTTCCTGTTGGGTGGGGTAAGCAATCCAGTGTTCTTCACAATAAGACAATCCACAGACTCCTTCACTTGGTGCTCCTAGGAAATTTTGAGCAGTCACTTATTGCATGGTTTCAGGTTACGGTCGACGGTCCACGTGAGGCACGTACTCCAAACTCGGCGATCAACCACCGGCGGCGACCATGCGCTCCTTTCGTGAGTCCAGTGCCGCCATTCTTTCCCAGCTACCAATCACTAATGTGGTTCACGCCAGAGTACGTTAAATGTTTTCTTCTCTGAAAAATCATTTGAACGAGTTCTTTGGCACATTCATAACTACCCTCCTTTCTAATCAACTGAACGACTGAGCCTGAATTAAACGTTAGCTATTCTTTAGTTACTGTGAATAGGAAGAAGCGATCTTTCTCCCTGTCAGGACTAAAACTGACTAAAACGAGAACATCCCCCTCTCCGAAGCAGCATTTTCTTCCTTTGAACTTGTATTATTTCTGATTTTGCTAATGTCCGTCTCCGTGCATATGTAGATGAGAGCCAAATTTCAGTTTCCGAGCAATCCCGGCGTTATTGAGCCGACCAACTCCGAACGAGACTTCGCCAGAAGGTGTTCGGACTGTTTGTCAGGTCAGCCAAGAGCCGCCCCGGAAGCGGCCACGGAAGCAGTCATCTACATCTACATCACCCAGCTGCTCGCCACCCGTTTGGCGGCCTTGTCCATTTGATTGATCTGATTTCAGTTATTCTTCGCATTCTTCACTGATTCTTAACCGGAAGTTGGAGAGCATGATGTGGAATAGTTGAGGGGTTTCTGCGCGATTTATTTGGCTCAAGGCAATGCCGACATGATATAAAGCGAATAAGAATCCCAAAATTAGCGAGTTCCCTAGAAACCCACGCGTGCGGTTGCACCTTTGGTGACAGTGCAATCATTTCTTAAGCGTATGAGGCATGACCGCTAAAGAAGAGGGAGGGGTCTAGCTTCAGCTAACGGGCTCGTTATACAAAAAAATCCGAAGCATAAGATCTGTCTCACTCATCTTAAAAGTCAGAGGAATTTCCAATGTCTAGTCAATTTGTACAACCGTTTACAAACTTTGGATTTACCCCAGCTTTGACTACACAGAGAGTCATTACTCAATGAAGTGACCCTCCTTCATTTCAATAGACTTTAGCGAGGCAAAATACTCACTGCTGATTATTTTAGGGTTATACTTATGGCATTCAATTATCAATCAGGGTATTTTTGGAAAATGGATGGCGAGTGCAATCAAAAATGTTTTAGTACAAACATTTCCGATTGCGGTGGCTATCCATGTTCCGAAAATACTCTGAATGAAAACTGAATGCCATACGTATAACCCTAAAATGACTAGCGTTGAGTATTCGACTCTACTAAGTTCTACTGACATGAAGGGGGGTATTTTATTGAGGAACGACCCTCTGTAGTCGAAAGATGCCAGTTCTTACTGCCTATATCCGCATAAAAACACCTCCGTGCAACCTCATCCCACTCAACAGCACATCGCCGCTCACCGACTTCCGGCATACGGGTTCTGGCGGTGAGATCTTAAAGCTCGCAGCTTTTATCCGCCAATTGTACACATGACTTTTATTGCTGTCAATAAACGCATTCGTTCAACAACTCTTTATCGCAAAAACCATTTACAGACACGGATTGAAGTGCGCGAGTCACAGCAATCATTTCAGGGACAATTCTCTGGAAAACATAAAAGCCAACCCAAATAAGGCGACTGAGTACTTCAATAACACAAACATCACTTCTCTCCATGTGCGATACATTTCTGTCAACGAAACACAACAAAACAGCCAACTCTAAAGCGACAACAAATAGAAAACTTCTAACTACTCAGAGAAAATGAAAAACATTCACAGAGAAGCCAGCATTTCTGCGGCACAAGCATAAGCAGCGATAAAACATGGTGTTCATGCAGTGAAAAGCTCAGAGATGAGAACGAAACCTGTAAAACCTGCCTCGTAAGTTCTCTGTTCTCAGACATCAAAAAATCAACCAGCTCCATAAGACGCTTTCCATTTTCCAATTAATACAAACTATGCAGCAATAGAATCTATATAAACTCTCCCTACAGGTTAATATAAATCTATACCAAAATAACAACATAAAAAACAAGCTAGTTGTGGAAGTGCTAGCGGAGCTCATACAAACGCAACGACAACTTTAACACATAAACCAGGAGGCCTCATAATCCGCAAGATTGCCAGGTTGAAGAGTGATATAATACATAGGAAAGTCCGAGTATATTGTTTGATAAGACCATGCAAAGTAATAATCAAGAAACTTTACCAAAAAATGAGAACAGAAAATAATAGGTTCTTCGGTAAAGCTGATTCAAAAGAAGGTTGAAACGGAAAGTTTGGAAACAACTTCAAAGATTTCGATAAGAAAGTAAGATGAGTGTATAGGCAAGCTAATAGAGACGTTGGTGAACGAACGGTGGAGAGGTAGTGACTGGCTGACCAGCTACAAGGGGTGCTGCCGCGACGCTCGAACCCACGCGACAACGCTGCTGCATCAGGCTCGGCGAGTACATGCCTGATGGATACCCTGGTGCTAGCTGCATGTACTGATAGGCATGACGCTGCTGACACGGCACTGTCCCACGAGCCACTGCAGCGACAGCCGCCATTCCGCCCAGTGGAGCTACGGCCATGTTACTTGACGGCTGTACATAGCAACGCGGTGATGAATTACCAAGTTCTCCACGTGAACCATAGTCGTCCACACGCGAAGTTAGGGAGCGTGGTGCATGACGCATAAGAGGGCGATGATCAGTAGTTTCCTTTCCTTTCACTGTGTGACGCGCCTGAGCAAGAAAGACTGTAAATTGATGCAACCAACCTATTTTTGGAGGTATAAGGCGCATTTATGCGCACAGTAGCGGTGCTACGCTGGGGTGCCCACGCTACAACGCGCGCGAAGAATTTTTGAAAACAGCAACGGTTTTCATAGTCTTTTTCGTAGATTTTTATCTTCTGAATGCTTTTCAATCACATCTTCTTCGAAAGAGAATCATTCAAAGGTAAGAACAAAGCACCAAAAGGGAAGCCAGAAAAAACGAATGCAGCCTTCAAGAGGAAGTGCGCTCAATTCAGGAAATACTTGTACACTCTGAAGATGAGCCAGCATTGTTTAGCTACTCAAATCAAAAAGCTATTTCAACTTTCTACATTCCGCTTATTCAGTAGCGCTTATTCAATAAGGTAATTTGCTGATGTTGGTATGACATCTACCATGGCAAGCACAGCCAGGCAAAACTCACAATTAAAGGCAGTGAGTACGATGGCTGGAGGCGGGTAGTTGCTGTCAACGTCACTGGTTTAAGGGCTGCGAGAAGGGGGTTTGGAAACACCCCATTCAGCCCTACACCAGTGACGTTAGCAGCAACAGCCCGCCCCAGCCAGCGTGTACACCACCCTTGAAGGAAGTAAAAATTCTCTTGAATATCTTCAAGGTTTACCTGCCAACATGTAGCGCAGTAGTAGCGGAAACAAGTGCGATCACGACAAAAGTACGGTCCTGGATTCTCATTGCACACCATGCACCAGGAATCCTCGAGGAATGGATCAATCTGCACCTTTTTGCCTATAATTATGAACTTCTAAGTGAAATCTTCTTTTAGAACATTTCGGTTTTCCTACACATCGCTGGTCAATCGCTAGATCTAAATCCCCCAAATCAAGCAGGTAACCAATCGCGCAGTTCTATGTAGATTCGTTCCATACGCGAGTAGGTGAGGTCCTTAGCTGTTGGGAATACCACTTCGGTTCTGGAAACTGAGCGGAAAATAAAGATGGAAAGATGTGAAAGTTCGATCAACCCAATGTTCTCGTCCGCACTTTGATACGCGATGCGCACACCGCGAGTTCCCGTGTCAACACATTCGCAATGGATCCTGGAGAGACTGACTGCACAGAGCAGGAGTTTGGATCATACGTGAGAAGGCGCGGACAAATAGCGCGTGTGACTCGAGTTAAGTGTATGGCTGCTTGTGAGGTGCGTTGCATGACTGCTTACTGCCATCGCGTATCAAATCGAAGGAGGATTGTATATCCTCCTTCGATTTGATACGCGATGGCAGTAAGCAGTCATGCAATTCACCTCACAAGCAGCCATACAATTTGAACAATTCAATACAGTCCGGCAATCACGACCATCCAGCTTCACTTCACAGTTACGAACGTTCCTATCCACATGTGGAGGGGTCCGTCCTGCAGCTATCACACTATGTCACTGAAGTACTTGAAGACTCTTTAGTGATGGAAGTTATAAAATAGTCAGTTACCCATAAGCGTGATATCTCTAATTACATGCTCTCAACAACTCACAAAATTTGCTCGTGCGAATTTCCAGGAATGCCGACTCGATGGCATGAAAATAGGACGAGTGAGCACGAAACGTGACACGGCCACTACCTTAAGCAGAAATGAGGAACTCCGGCAAGCCTCGCAAAACTGTTACAAAACAGTTACTACCTCGTAAGATCTGACATACCTATTGGATATCTATACTTGTCCGTGTCAATCCCAACGAACACAACACTACCGTACAGTTCGTTCATAATAGAAAAAAGGACGTGGGCAGTTATCATTCCATGCAAAGCTCCCACGAAGACCTTAATTCAGAGTCATGAGATAATCATCCTTATGAGGTTTTCGAAAACGTCAGTGCTCCAGCCACTGCAGAACAGATGACAACGTACCGTCTTCTTTGGATCTAGAGGGCATGTCGGATCATCAACGTATGACGAGTCTGATACTACCCATGGAATCACTTGCACCTTGGAGAGAAAGAATTAATTCAAAGTAAAGCAAAAGGAAAAATACATGAGATATCAGTGAACCAGACAGAATCTCTCTTAGGAGTCTATGGTCAAGCATTTCACGAAGCTACCTGACGAATTTCACTGCTCTGGTTACGACGAGCTTTTAGTTTGAAGTACCACTCGCCAGCTGAGCCAAACTCTTGCGAACAGTCTTGGAGTAGCGATTTAACAGAGCGTTCCGTTTCGAAAACGATGTAAACGTACCCGGTGACCTTAATGGAATGAACACTGAATGGAACAAAATGTCTTTTGTCCACCTCATATTTCACCTTTGTGCGATTACGCTGGTTCGTGTGAGAACGTCCTTCTTTGGAAGGCCATTCAACACGACAAGCTCCGTAAGGAGAGAAAGCGTCGATGAGGGCTGTCTCAGAGATGTCCCAGGGCACTGAAAATGCTTGCTGCAACTACTCCATAAGGACCGATCAGAGTTAACTTACCGCCACCCACAAAAATTTTACTTGAAAACGTGGGATTGCTATAATTACGCGGAGGTAGCTCACCACTCCACATATAACCTTTGCAACACGGATCAGTAACTGTAGCCGTCTGAAAAGAGTACGTAAAGAAAATTATAGTGATGTTCAACCTAAGCTTGGAACAAACCACTAGATGTCCACGCCAATGTTCTTTGAGATGACGAAACAGTCTGTGTCGACTATCATACGGATACTTTGTACTGCAGATCGCATGAGAGGGAAAAGTCTCCACTGTTTCCTTTCTTTCAGAAGCTGCAGTTGGTGGAGATGAAATTTCAGAAATATCAGCAGAGTCGCTAGTGGTGATATCATTGTCAGGCAAATTCTAAATAAAGAACGATTATCACCTAACAAAGAAATGAAGAAAGACGATGCAAAGCTTGTCACTAAAGGAAGCAACCTTTATCCCACATGCAAGTATTATTTAGGTAAAGAATCGTACCAACACCGAATAAACCGCATATCTTCCAGTGCAATTTTGTAAAAAAAAAGATTGAGGAAGACAAGGAATAGCAGTTTTTGGTGTTTCGTTCGTTTCTTTGGTTTCCTCACCTAGGTGAGACCTGGACTTGTGGAGTGTGAGAGTGAAAAAGCTTCGCTGAGCCATTTTGATGAAGCCATTCTTCTGAACGTACGAACCGGTGTCAGCTTCATCTTGTTTGACTGTGTTAGCGTTTTAGGAGCTCACAGGTTTTCATAAGGTGGATGGTAAAAGCCTGCTAGCCTGTTCTCAGCTCGACAAGGGTTTGCAAGCCTCCACGTCGAAGGGGATTAATAAGGTCCCTGTTTCCCCTAAGCCGAATCAAAAAATTATAGTAATTTTATTTTTCAAGAAGGCAGGAATGGAATCTCCACAGTGACTACGGAGTTGTCAGCCCTGGTGTTTCTGTTTGTCAGGACCAGCTGTCACATCTGCAGGTTGGTAATGATGCGTAGATTCAGCCGGATGAGTTTCGCCGACATGCAAAAGTGGGATTAGAGACTCCTAGAAATAAATGAATCCGAATGTTTTTGCCTCATTTTTCCTCCTCCTCCTGGTGGAATGGTGGTGTTTTCTTGGCAGTTTCCAGTGAGCCACTATCCCGTGTAACTCGATACGCTGCAAGAGCTTACAAGACCGAATAAAAAACACGTATTCGAACGGTTAGCAACTGCATGCATTTTTTCACGTTGTTAAAGTATTTTTACTGCGGAAGCATCATTGCATGGGAAGCCGCATCAATCCGGCGACAGCTGCATCAGTCGGTATAACCACCACACTATGCGATAGCATTTTCGTGCCAGTAAGACTTCGCATAGGTAATCAAGTAGAGTAACAATTACCGCAACTAGAAAATTCAGGAGCCAACATTAAGGGAAGGTGAAGTACAGATTCAGAATTTAGAAGTAACTAATTTTAAACAGAGTCAGTCAATTTAATGCTCACCTCATTCATACTCTCAAACGATTTCACAACGACTGTCTTTGGGACACGATCCATAGGAGTGGGTTCGGACTTCGAACGGGTCCGTTGCGGGGAAGCGGCTGTGACAACATCTAGCTCGAAGCGGCTCATCACAGCTGTGAGCTCTGAAATTAACGAAAACTCCTTGTTCAGTCATTCAGCAGTAGTATTCGGAATAAGGCTCATGAAAACTACTTCATTTTGGCGTTTTCAATCCTGTCCTCATTTATTAGTCAGGAAACCCTGGTAGTTCACAAACTATACAATGAGCCTATATTGTTTCAAATGGGGACTGTCCTGACTTTAGCAATTTCAGGGAGATTTAGCCCTTGTACTGAGATCTAAATACCAGGTTGCGCTAACCAAGGATCTCCACCCCATAATTTGTGAGCGAAACCCGATTTTTTTTACATCAAGCTGCCTTCATACTTTGCGTCAGCGGCCACTAATGAACATCAGCGTCTACCCAGTGTTTCAAGCGTACGCCAGCGGCGGCGACTAGGATATAGATATCGATCTGGTGAACTCTAGCGTCGCGCACTTCCGCTCAAGTTCAGAGTAGCCTGCGAATGTACGCTGGCGGATGCTAGCTTTCGCTAGATCGATATGTACACTTCCCTTGTCGCTGGCGTACGCTCTGAACGCTGGGTCGCTGGTGGACGCTGACGCAAAGTATGAACGCAGTCTCATTGACACTACAAAGTACTTATGTACTACCAAAGTCATTCTAGCTGTTCTACTAAAGTCCAGTTCTTTGGACTATTTTCTCTCTTGTAAGTTAGAACTCACCGGCCAATTTTTCCAGAGAAGGGTGATGGATATCTTGTGAGCTGTGAAGGAAGTCGATGGCATCTTCGACATTATTATTAATTTCCTCTGCACAACTTTTTTCCTCCTGAAACGCTTCGAAACTGTTTCAAGCACTTTATGCTCAACCCTTGGAAGGCCTCCCGAATATAGCAAAAATTGGTTAACAGTGAATGCTCACACTTCCATAGCGATAATAATATTTTATTGAATACTGATCGCTATCCTGAAGTTTAAGGCACGCTCCGCGTTTATTTGATGCGCAGACGCCTTTTTTGGACACGATTGTTCTGCACGCAGGCATGAAGAATGCACTACCTTCGAAGCTCGATACGTGTTTGAAGCGCAACCCGCTCACGATGAGGCCGCCCACTGGCCACGGCAACGCCCATCCTTCTTACCATTTTTGAACGCGGATCGTGCATTGGAAAAGGTAAAAAAAACAGTCTTCGCAGCGACTAGTCGCTTTTTGGCATTCTACCTCCATTTAGAATCGTAATGGCCTATTAAATGCGATATGGCCTATGGCCAGCCGATGTACAGGTCAGTGTTGTAATTTCCCAAACCAGTCTGGTGTCTCTGGAGGAGAGAAGGCCTGGTTGGCTAGGGGGGGGAATAGCCAATATGGGATTTGACTCACGGACCGCGCTCGTGTCACTTGCCCCAACACCATCCAGGCCAGAAATGGAAACCTAGATCCAATCAAATATTTTTTGATTCATGCATTGTTAAGAAACTTGCTCATGTACAGTCAGAATCAGCGATCAGTCCTTTTCTTTGCAGTGAATAGAGAGCAAGTGTTACCAAATGATAGCTCCGAGTTCCACTTACAGTTTCCTGCTCATTGGTAAGCGTCGCCGTGAAGCCGGGTTCCTTTTGTTCTTCTGCCAGCGAGTTGAAATTTTCATCCATGACCACGTTATAAGACGACTCAAACACTCA